GGTTTTGGGGCCCATTATACTATGAATATAATAAGGAACCCCCAAAATAGTCTTGGTAGTCATTTAGGCCCCTACAGTAATGGGTCACAAAGGTGGTAGCTCAAAAGGCTTAGTTTCAGGGTTTCGTGTTCTTGTTGATGCTCGTGGTGTCTTGCAGGATTCTTGTTGTCTTGTCGCTTTGCTCGGTAGGCTTTTGTGATTTTCAAGTGTTTAGGGCTAATTCGGGTATTTGGAGCTCAGGTTTTTGGAGTTTGGGGGTGTAGAGTGTAATCCCTTCCCTCTTTTGTTAAACACCCCCTAACAATCGACACACATTGGGCCCCATGCTCCCGAAATGATCACTGCCCTTTAAAACCTATTCTGAATTNNGGGGGGGGGGGGGGGTCGAGGCTCCAAAAGACCCCTTGGCCCTTGACCCGGAAACCCCCTAAATCCCTGAGCACGCATCCCTCTCCTTCCTCACTCCAGCCTTTGCTCTCCCAGCCGCTGGGGCTGTCTGTCTTCGTGTGAGCGTGGCACCCCGGCCTTCCTCACTCTTGTCGACAAAACTGTGCAGGCCTGACTGCCCGTCTGTCTGAAAAGATTAATTAGATCAGGTTTTAGGGTTTTTGGCTGAAGGTCCAGGGTTTAGGGTTTGAAGGGCTTTAAGAAGGTTTTGCAGGGGTGCTGAAGGAGCTTTCTACTTAAATACTATTGCAGTTAGTTAATACAGATACCCCGAATATTAAAAATACTTTCAGAGGTTTAAGTTGGGGGGGCCCCCCCCCGGCTTAATCTTCGGAAAAAGGGATTATTGATCAGGGATCGTAGTAGACTCCCCTTTCCTCAACGGTCCTAATGCAAGGATCCCTATAAGGAAAGGGGTTTACCGATCAGCCCTAAACCCCGAATCCCCATCAGAGCTCGGATGAGCTCCTGAGCCCAGTGCCTTTCATGCCAACTCCGATCCCCCACAGGGAGAGAGCCGGCGAGATGGCGATTGTGAAACACTCCTGCGTAAGGCTTGGGCTTTCCGGTGCGCAAGGCCTTTTAAGGATTTCATGTTTCGGGCTTAAGTCCTGCTTGTCTCCATGCCCCATTTGCCACCTGTGCATTAACTACACCTAAGTCCCTCTCCTAGGCTCCCAAATGCCCCCCCTAATTGCAAAGGTGGCCGTTGCCTAGTGTTCAGCTTTAGTCTGCAGAGCCCGGAAACGGGGCATGAAGGATAAAAGGGAGTCTGGATGGCCAAAGAGCATGTAAAGACAGCACGCCTCTGAGCTCCAGTCGAAAATTTCCTCTGGTTGCACCCGAGACTTCCCAACGAAAGCATCTCAAAATCCTACCCTGAACCAGACACCAGAACATCTCAACAATCAGCAGCTTCAGCATGAGTTGGGATCCTTCAGCCTGGAGCCTGCGCCAACACCCTGGTTCCCACCTGCCCGTACCCGTCATGCACTGCTTTTTCACGCACCGTCGGCCAAAACGCTTTGGGCCGAAGCAGCTGCTTAAATCGCAACCAGCCTCACAGCGAAGTGGACTAAACCCTCCGCTGGCACTCTTCCGGCTCTAGGCTGCCGACTGGCCGAAGCCATGCAGCCTCTCGGACTCCCGGCATCAGAGTTGCACTGCAAGTACGAAAAACCAGTGGCTTCCTACTGTCGCAAGAGATGTGATCTCCGGGGTGGGCGAGCTCCAATCAAGTGGCACAGTGAGGGCTGCAGCACGCTGCCACGTGCTTTATGTGGACCCCTGAGTTCTTACACCCCTTATTCGGGGTCACAAACATAAAGTCTCTTAGCTTCGGGATTTGAGCCTGCTCCGGCGATCACAGAAACAAAAAGCCGCGCCCGAGTAGCTTTGACTCTACGAAGCGCCGGCTCTTCGAGCTTCTTTGAACAAGGGCTGGGCTTGACAGGCTCCGACGTCTTGCAGGAGCGCCCACTTGCAGTAGTGCTACTTAGAGCGGGCATCTTGCATCACTGCTTCGGCGATGCAGCTGATGCAGACTCTCAAGAACGATTCCGGCAATCCTACCTTAAACACTAAGGCCGGTCACTAAGGCTCTTACAAAATGGAGATCTATCAACCAGAGCTCTACGTTAATCCTCCTCCTCTTCCTCCTCCTCCCCCTCCTCCTCGTCCTCGCCGTCGTTGCCACCGTCCTTGGCAAGTTGTTGGTCGAAGGCTTCGGAATCAGAGCACAAAAAACAGGACGACGGAGTCCCGATGGGTCGACTTCGTTGATATCGAGGACCCTGAGATTCGCTTGAAGCAGCCAGCACTGCCTCCTGCCGTGGTTATGGACGGAACTGACTGACAGTCTGACATCGCTCCGTGCAAAATTAAAGCTTCCGGTGATGAAGCATTATGCAAACCTTCTGAAATGCATCCATGCCGAATCTGACCACTACGAGTTTGGTCAAATCCAATCCCGAACCGAAGCCATGGCGCGACATATCCACTCAAAAAACCATGGTGCATCATCCTGCAACCCACGAGACCGAAAGTAAACTTACCACGAACAGTTCTCCACCCAGGCCCGAAATGGATCCGAGGCTCCTCACAAACTGGCGTCAGGATCTGCATGTACCTGAAGTGAAGCGAGCAGCGTTGCTGTGACCTTCTGCTTGAAGGTTGCTTGGGGTTTAAACTCCGTGCTTCAGCAACCGAACCCGGGAGGCCACCAGGTGCTTGTGGCCTGCTGCGGAAAATGATACAACAAGCTATCAAGGATTCGACACGGATATCGACGGTTCTAGAGGGTGTCATGTGAGTTGCACTCCAGCATCCGTTACATCGTAGCCTGGTATCGTAGATACATTCATCTCCTTCACAAGAACTCAGTCTTCAGTGTCCAGTTGCTCAGCCTCGACCTCCCTGAGCAAGTTCCGGGTTTCGTTGACATCGCCATCTCCTGAAGTTACAGAACAGAACCAAGCACATAGTGGACGACTGTGGATGCCTTACATCATTGGACTGCTTTTTTGCGTCCAGATGATGGTAAACAATGACTTTGATGGGATACTGGATCCCTTCAAGAAACCAAGCTTGCTCGCTGCGGATCTTGGTCCAAAAAATTGTACTTGACAAAGACTCAGGGTTAAAGGAGGGGTCAAAGGAGTGACATTGTTCTTGAGCCAAAGGAACCCCCCAATAAGGGGTTTCGAGTTTAGGTTTCAACATGCAGGTTTTCACGTGTTTGCTCCCTCGATGAGAAATCCCACTTAGTTTCTTGGCATCACAGATCCGCAAACCAAAGACAAGGACTGCCATGAGCATCGCGCGTCCTCGAAGAAAGCCAGCAAAGGTTTCAGGTACGCAAGACAAGCCCGCGGAGAAGCTTTCGAAGACTTTCTCGCTGTCGCTTGTGTTTTGCAGCCTTCGCGATGCAAAGGCCAGGATTCCAAACTCCACCCTGCCTAAATCTTTATGCGCCGCAGTGTGTGACACCCTTCGTCAGCTCTGTGATCTGTCTGAAGACCTAGCAATTAAGATGCCACGTAGTACAACTGTTTGCCCTGAAGCCCGGTTCTTATGAAGCCTGTACCCAACTACTGGAAATCTGTCAGCTGCGGGTCATAAGCCTCAATCTGCCAGCCATGTTGCAAAGCTACCTCGGGTTTGTCTGCCGATGCCGGGTCCTCTGTCAGCGTGATGCTTTGCAGCACTTTTGTTTACTGCACATGCCCAGCCTTCCTTCTGGGCTGTGGGCTTCCTGCACCACCGGACCCTATGATCCTAAATCCCCTGAACTCTAAATGGCCTAGGTTCTTGCAAGGGCGTCGTTTCCGACATCTGATTTTCCCCCAGGCATCCTGAAAGTTGGACACCAGAAAGCCAGCAGCACACCAGGACGTTGTTCGCACATCTGGCTCAACCTAGGTTTAAGAAACAAGGTTCGGGGTTATACCACAGAAAGAGCATACGTAGGGACATTATTTATATATATATATATGGCCCTTCCGACAGATCACACATGCACTCACCTTTGCATGGGGAAAATTTTTGTATATATATATATATATATATCTATATAATATATCCCGACCTGTAAAACTACCAAGCGAAGTAGGCGTCCCTGGCTTCGGAATTTTTCGGGGGCCCAATTTTTTCGAAACCGAGGCCTTGCATCTCGGGCTCTTTAAGCTAAGGGTTTGGCGCCTTAGGCTTTAGGATGCTCACTTTATTCATTCCAACATAGCCTGCTGTGGAGACGCCAGGGCACCAAGAACTCCTTGATTGCTGACGTCGCCGTCAGTGGGGAGGCCATGCCGCGGCAGAAAAGGCCACGAGTCAGGACGGTGCCTCGCAGAGCGACACACAACGACCACGAGATAAGGTCGATGCCGGGTCTAGAACCCCCAAGCCCGCGGATGCCCAAGCTATACACAGTGGGCATGTCGCACCGCTCAGATGCAGGTGCAAAAGCATGTGGTCATCGCCCAACAAACAGCGAATTGAAGACGCGGGTCCTAGCACCTTAAACCCCAGTGCAGGAGGAAGTCAGAGGACGCCAGGCGCTTGGCATTAGCAGATGCGAAGCCACAGGCTTCAGCTGCATATTCCGCTAGAAGTCGACGTAATGCTAGATGCTGGGCTACTCTACTGTGGTTGTATGGAATTGTGGAAGACCAATGAAATAAGCAATGCAAAGACTCCTTACAGTGGGAACGATCCAGAATTCAGCAGGGCGGCTCTGCGATGGCCGTCTTTGGGCCGTGCACAAAGCTCCTTCGAAAGGCTTTGGCGGATTGCTGCTCATTCAGCTGCAAGGGAATTCTGAACAAAGCTTGCACGCCGTGCAGGCACCGGCAGCAGTCGTGCGGAAGCAGTCACGGATGTCCATTGTGATAACCGAACCTTACACCCCAAGACCCCTCAACCCCACTGAACCTTCAACCCGAAGCCCCGAAAACCCCCCAAAACCCCAAACCCCCTACATTACGGGGTTTCCTAGACCCCAGAGGCAATTTCAACCCCATCTATAATACCTAGATCAGGTGTGGGCAGCACGCTCCCGAGCGAAGGGCGCAGCTGGTAGCGGCGTAGCTCCGAGGCTGTCCTTCGACCAGCGGATCTCACGGGCTCCGGAAGGTTTAGGGCTTTTCAGGGGTCCTTCAGGTTGCTATCCGCCTTTAGGGTGTCAGAGGCTTTGGGTTGGGAGTGGGGGGCGTAAGGTTTCAGGGTTTTGATGCTTGGGGTTTCAGGCTCAAGGGCTGTTGGGTTTCACGGTGGCTTCATGAAGGAAGCTCCAAAATCCTGAAGTATGCTTCTTACGATTTCTCATCCATGAGGAACGGCGCCTGTAAACTGGGGGCCACCAAAGCGTGTCAGTGCGCAGCCAGAGACTCTAAAACCCTTCAGTGAAGGACAAAGTACATGCCTAAAACCAAGGGGGTTTTGGAGTGGCGGGACAGGATGCAGGAACGATGCGAAAGCCCGCGCCTTGGCACCGAGTCCAGCTTTGACACAAGTGACAAATGTGTTCCGTCATGTTGGGGCCGAATGGCCCGTACACCTTGAGACCCTAGAGTAAACGCCGGCCGCCAGCAGCCGCCAGCTCCTGTCCCCAAGTCCTGTGGCTGGCAGGAGGTCTTCCCCGGGCGACAGGCCCCCAAGCGCTGGCAGCAGAAACTTGATGACCGGAAACCTCAGCTTCGGAGGGTGTGGGGATCCAAGTCTTCAGACGAAGCACACGAGTCTGCATTTGTTTGAGGGTCTCTGCCTTTTCGAAGCTTATGTACGACCTGAAGACCAAGTGTAAGACCGGATGTGCTGGTTTGGAGGCTGTAACTTCTATTTCTATTTCTTCAAAGTCAGTATGGGATCTTGAACGGCTCCCGGCAGGGTTCGGGGTACAAGTACTGCAACCTGATTCACAAATTTGGGCTTCGGGCTGCTTCGTGTTGAAGGCCGAAGAGCGGGGCGAGATTCGTCGCCAGGCTCGGGATGCCCGCAAGCCTGGAGTCTTCAGCAGCTTCGGAGCATTTCCGGGGACCTCCGGGTT